TAGTTAGCAATTTGGAAGTTGGCTCTTTTAGTTTCCATAATGAACTTATGAGAAGGTTTAAAAAGACCACAAAATAATTCTGTAATAGAATATCAGCTTCAGGGGTCATGGAGAAGGATTTCAACAGTATTATCATTTAATGCAGCCAGATTTTCTATCCTAACAGTGTTTTTAAAAATCTCAGAACAGAATTGTTCAATTTATTGTTTTTTGTAAATATAAGACATGTTGAATGTGGAATTTTATGTAATTGCCCAGTGAGGTTGCTTAAGTTTGGATGAGTCAGAATTCCAGTATTTCTCAGAACTGTGAACACTCTAGCATCTCCATTTAGCCCTTAGTCTCACAGCAGTGGCTTTTCTCTATGCCTTGTCTACCTGTAGTCTAGCTCTCCATTAAGGACCCAAAGGGGACCACAATAAAGACTCTTGAGTCTCATCTCTTCACACAGATTCCCCCTTTCTGACATATCACAAATTTTAGATCCTTTATCAGCCCTGAATTCTCAACACTGATCTCTGGGAAGATGGCAAAGTAGGAAATACCAGGAATCTGGAGCCTAAAATAATAATTGCATTGGCAGAATCTCTATGGAGTCTATTGAGGCTTGCAACTTTTAGGGAAAGACTTGGATGGTAAATTACAGTTAATGTTCATCAATTTCAGCTCTTAGCACAGTATGTGTTACCCATCCACCACCCCAGCTGTATGGTGGGCAAGTGTGAAGACATTCCAGAGCAGCTAGCAGGCAGCTGGCTGGAATGAGGGTGGGAAAAATGTAGGGATTCTGTACTCTGACTGTGAATTGATGCTTTTGATTGCAGAGGTGCAGACAGGGAGGCTGGGCACCTCATCCCTCATTGCACCTCACTCCTTATTGCTGCAAACCCCTCCTCCTTGCCTGAAGTGACTTGTAGGAGATTTGAAGAGCTGTACTCTTATTACTCCCTTCATTTTTCTTTTTTGCTGTTTTGGGAACCAAACATCAAAGACTAGGACACTGAAAAGCAACTGCATATATAGGGAAAATTACAAAGTTACCACGCATTCCAAGAGCAGGAAAAGTATACGTTTGGACAAGGACTGAGAAGACCTTAAGATTTACCTTAGTATAATCTTTTGCCCACAATCAGCCTAAAACAATTGTAAAACCCCTAAAGCAGTAATAAAAAATAGCAAACCCTAGGGAAGGATGTGAATCTGATTCTTAGTTACCATGTTATTAGATTCCAACGTCCAGTTTTCAACCATAATAAAAAACCATGAGGCATACAATGAAAGAGGAAAGTATGGCCTATTCTAAGAGGAAAACATAAACAGAAACTGTCCCTGATAAAGGACCTGATGGCAGACCTACTCTTCAAAGACTGTAAAACAGTTATCTAAAATATGCTCAAAGAACTAAAGGAAGATGCAGGGGAAGTCAAAATTATGAGTGAATAAAATGGAAATATGAATAAAAAGATAGAAAACCTAAAAGCAAACCAAAAAGAGGTTCTGGAGCTGGAAAACAAAATAACAAGATGATTTCAAAGGCAGATTTGATCTGACAGAAAAGGAATCAGGAACTTTGAAGACAGGACAATAAACATTATCAACCTAAGGAACAGAAAGAAAAAAGATTGAAGAAAAGTGAATACAGCCTAAGGGACCTGAGGGATATCATCAAGCTGATCAACATATGCATTGTGGGAGTTCCACAAGGAAAAGAGAGGGAAAATATTAAAAGAAATAATGGCTAAAAACTCCACAAATTTAATGAAAGATATGAATACAAACATCCAAGAAGCTCAAAGAACTCCAAGAAAGATGAACTCAAATGCATCTTGAGACACATTGAAATTAAACGTTCAAAAGGCGAAGACAAAGGGAGTGCTGAAAGCAGAAAAACAGAAGTGATTTTTTCACATAGAAGAGCCCTTAAGAAATACTATCAACAGATTTCTCATCAAAAGCTTTGGAGGTAAGAGAGCACTGGGCTGACAAAAGTCCAAAAGAGGCCAGGCACGGTGGCTCTTGCCTGTAATCCCTGTATTTTGAGAGGCTGAGGCAGGCAGATCACTTGGGGTTAGGATTTTGGAACCAGCCTAGTCACCCTGGGAAAAATCCATCTCTACTAAAAATACAATAACAGTAATAATAATTAGCTGGGGGTAATGGCAGGCTGCTTGAGAGGCTCAAAAAAAAAAAAAAAATGCCCAAAGAAAAAAAATGTCAACAAAGAATCCCATATCTTGCAAAACTGTCCTTCAAAAGTGAAGAAGAAATTGAGAAATTCCCAGATAAACCTAAGCCGAGGGAGTTCATTACCACTAGTCCTTGCCAGCAAGAAATGTGCAATGGAGTCCTATAAGGTGAAATAAAAGGGCACTAGACAGTTAGCTACTCAAAGCAATATAAAGAAAAAAAAAGTTCAATAAAAGAAAATCTCAATACAAAGAAAAAAAAATCTTAATACCAGGGATATTATAAGAGCTAGCATTATTGTAACAATGGCTCAAAATTGCCCTTTTTGCTCTCTACACAAATTAAGATACTTATACATTTTAAAAATTATTGGTCTAAAAGCTAGATTATTGTAATTTTGGTTGTTCTACCACATTTTATATTTTACATAAGACACTTAAAATAATGATTAGTTTGTGTTATAAACAATGTATAACAAAGTAGTTTTATGACATTAAAAACCAAAAAAGGTGAAGAGAAAGATAAAAAAGAGCAGAGTTTTTGTGTGTTATTGAAAATTAAGCAAGTGTAAATCCAAATTATACCCTTATAACTTTAGGACAGTAAATGTAATCCCCATGATGACTGCAAAGAAAATAGCTATAGAATATATGCAAATGGAAGAAAAAAATACTTTACTACAAAAAATATCAACCAACCATGAAAAAGACAGTAATCTAGGAAATGAGGAACAATAAAAAGCTGTATGGTATAAAAAAATGAATGACAAAATAACAGAAGACCCTCTGTATTAGTAATTTTAATGCAAATGGATCAAACTTCCAATCAAAAGGCAGATTAACAGAAGAGAAACAACTGACTCTATTATATGCTGTCTATAAGAGAGTTACTACAGATCCAAACATACTAATAGATTAAAAATGAAAAGACAAAAGAAGATATTCCATGCAAATAGTAACAAAAATAACAAGTTTGGTAATGCTAACAATCAGAAAAAAGAAGGCTTTAAATTTAAAAAGGTTACAAGAGATAAAAAAAAGATTAAATAAGCACAATCAGAAATGATAACAGTGAAAATGCAACTGATAATAAATATAAAATATCATCAGAGATGACTATAAACATATCTACACACACAAAGCAGAGCACCTTGAGGAAATATGTTAATTGAATACATCATCCCAAGATTGAACCAGGAAGAAACAGAAATCCTGAACAGACCAATAATGAGTAAAGTAATTGAATCAGTAATAAAAAAATCTTCCAAAAACAGCAGCAACAACAGCAAAAAAGCCCAAGCCTAGATGAACTTATGGACTACTTTTACCAAATATATAAACGAGAGCTGGAACCAATCTTAGTAAAACTATTCCAAAAAAATCAAGTTGGAAGGATTCCTCCCTAATTCATTCTACAAAAGCAGTATCATCCTGACACCAAAATCATGCAAAGACACAACAAAACCCAAACTTATATACCAATGTTCCTAATAAATATAGATGTAAATATCCTCAACAAAATATTAGCAAACCAAATTCAACAGCATATTAAAAAGATAATTCATGATTAAGTGGGCTTTATTTCATGGATACAAGGATGTTTCAACATTCACAAATCAATTAATATGATTCACCACATAAATAGAATTAAAAACAAAAACCTTATGATCATCTCAATAGATGCAGAAAAAGCATCTGATAAAATCCAGCATCCGTTCATGATGAAAACCCTGGACAAACTATGCATTTAGGGAAATACCTCAAAATAATAACAGCCATCTATGACAAGCCCACAGCAGACATCATACTGAATGGAGAAAATTTGAAAGCATTCCTCCTAAAAACAGAAACAAGACAAGGATTTCCACTCTCAGCACTACTATTTAACATAATACTGGAAGTCCTGGCTGGAGCAATGAGGCAAGAGAAAGAAATAAAAGGTAGCCAACTAGGAAAAAAGGAGTCAAACTATCTCTATTCATTGATTACATGATCTTCCACTGAGAAAATCCTAATGACTCCTCCAAGAGACTCCTAGATTTGAAAAATGACTTCAGTAAGTTTCTGAATACAAAATCAACACACAAAAATCAGTGTCATTTCTATACACCAATAACATTCAAGCTGAGAATTAAATCAGGAACTCAATTCCATTTACAATAGCCATAAAAATTAAAATATCCAGTAATACATTTAAACAAGGATGTGAAAGATCTCATAAGGAGAACTAAAAATACTGATATAAGAAATCATAGATGATACCAAAAAAATGGGAAAACATTTCATGCTCATGGATTTGAAAAACCAATATTGTTAAAACAACTATACAGCCCAAAGCAATCTACGGATTCAATGCAATTCCTATCAAATATCAATGTCATTTAGAGGAAATGTATTCTCTTCCGGGGTCCACAAGGGGGTGTGGTTTCAAAGGCAAGAACTTCCCAGCTCCATACCTCCAACCCCTTCTCCATCCTGGAGCTTAGAGGGTTTTAACTTTCCCATGCACAGGAAGATAGACTAGTCAGGTGAGCTTCCTTTGTCTAGAAAGTCCTCTAGAAGCTATGGGAGGACTGTGGGCCAAAACAACAAATCAAAGGTTAGAAATCAAAGATCAATCACTCCAGAGGAAGTTTAAAGGAACTCCTTTCATAGGACAGAAAACTTGAATGTGGTGGGAATGTCTCCCAGGTTAAAAGTACCCTTCTCCCACATCGGTGTGGACTCCATTTCTGGATCCCCTTCCATGACATCATGGGAGCTACTATTCTTTCTCCTTTTTCTCTCTCTCTGCCTAAATAAATCACTTTCTGCAAAACTCTGGGGTCTGATATTTAATTAAACGAGCCCACCACACCTGGTGGGGTCCTCTCCCCCATTCTTGGGTGAGTGAGGGACCAAGAACCTGGAAGAACACATCCTATCGGGGAGCTGAGCCTCCCCAGTATCCTGAAACCTGGTCTGAATTTCACAAAATTAGAAAAACCAATCCTAAAGTTCATATGGAATCAAAAGAGAGCCCAAATAGCCAAAGCAATCCTCAGGAAAAAGAATGAAGCTGGAGGCATCACATTACCTAACTGCTGCTATTCTGGATCCCTACTCACTCCAGTAGGGATGCATCATGTCTGAGAGGTTGGAGAAGAGACCTGGAGTCAGAGGCATAGGATTTAGTGAGGAAACTTACATACAAGGACACTCCAGAGGTGGTGAGTTGGATAATCCCCTGTGAAGCCTGCATTCCAAGGGATGGGCTGGGAGTTCAGATGTCCTCCATAAATATGGAATACATCCTCAAGTTGGCCATTCTCGGACTCTTTAGCTTAGGACTCCAAAAACACATTCTTGTAAGACAATAGTATCATTCTCAGGGTATGCTTAAGTTACTGCTATCAGGTGCATGTGCCATACGCTCCACTCTAACATACTGAATGCCCCTCACATTCTTATCATGCCATTTCTTCTATAATTCTCCTAGGGTCAGGTATGTGGCGGAACATTTCAGACAAATGCCACAGCAGCAATACAAACTACAACAACAAAAAAATAACGAATATAATAACAATCACACTGGATATAAAGTTCTACCAAGTGCTTGGGAGTTGATTTAACCATGTTTTTATAGGTGTGTAAGACAACAATCTATAGTGTTATTATAATATATACTATAGAATATAATGCAGGTGTTTAGGACCCACATAGCCTGGTTACATTGTGAGAGTAATCAGGGATATATAAACAACATTCAGTTTTAACTAATGCATAGGTTCTACCCTGGGCAGCAGTTAAGATATCCAGGGCCATGCCATTTTGCAAAGTAATGTGTCTTATTTGGGTGGTCTCTTCAGTAAGAAGAATAATCCCATGGCTGGTAGCATTAATGGCTGCAGCCATATGTTTAGCCTCAACTTGCAGCTCTATCTGTATCTATTGTTGCCACTTGGGGAGCAGAAATGGCCAAAGGGTAAAACTGCCAGGATGCATGTTTCTGGAAGTACCTGGCTTTTACACTCTCCCAGTGAGGAGGAATGTATGGTATGCAAATGGAACACAATGCATACTGACAAAGATGCCACCAGGTGCATATAACAGTCCAATTAGAGGGTACATAAGGTCAGCTGTGGGTGCCACCACCCATAACAATCCCCAAGGGGAGAGGTAGGCCCCCACTCCCCAGGTGGAAAGTTTTTCTGCCACCCCAGCAACATATCTTTGGTTACTTGAAGGGACTGGTCACACTGCTGTGGGGGTAACCATTTATGATAATTAATGTTGTCAACTTGAGGTGTTGCCAGAAGAGATTAACATTTGAATCAGTGGACTGCGAGAGGAAGAACCACCTTGGGTGGGTTTATCCAACTGGCTGCCAGCATGGCTAGAAAAACCAAGCAGAAGAAGGTAGAAGAAGGGGACTTGCTGAGTCTTCTTGCCTTTAACTTTGTCCCATGCTGGGTGTTTTCTGCTCTCAAACATCAGACTCCAAGTTCGTCAGCTTTTGACTCTTAGTCTTATATCAGTGGTTTCCCAGGGACTCTCGGGCATTCAGTCAAAGATTGGAGGCTAAACTATCATCCTCATTACTTTTGAGGTTTTGGGACTCGGACTGAGCCCAAAACTTCCTTGCACCCATCACATAGAGGCAAAGGTCCTATGTAGTCTAGCTGCCACTATTATACTTGGCTCCAGCCCTGGCCTGTCTGTTCAGTATTGTATGGAAAGGGCCTGGGGTATTTCTGTGCACAAGTAGGACACTGCTGACAGATAAGTACTATATCTTTGTATCATCGTAGTAGTCCTCAGTTTTCACTATGTCCCAAAAGGTATGTTGTCCCCAGTATCCTCTCTTTTTACATAGCCAGTAAGCCACATCTTTTGTGGGCACTTCCTTGAGGAGGCAAATGTAGTCTACCTTGTCTGTCTATTGATTTCCAGGTGGTGTAGGTGCAATATGGGCATCCACATGGTAGACTGTTACATGCATCCCCTAGATGTGTGGATAATGCCATTCCAAATGTCAGCACCTGAAAGGGCACAGGCTGCTAGTGTCCAATCCTGTGTTTTCCACTATAATAGCCACATAGTGAGTCCCTTAAAGACAGCCTAGCTGTCAGTGCATAGGACTATTAGGTCTAGCTTATGAAGGAGGACCATCTAAGCTGCCCAGAGCTCAGCCCACTGGCTACTATGTCCTTCACTTGTATCAAACTAGATACTATCAGTGGATGGCTGAGTGGCCACAACTGTCTAGGGTTAAGGACTGAATCATCATGAGCCATCTGTGTACCAGGCCTGGTCAGGAATTGGACCCTGTCCCTCCTGTATAAATGAAGGGATTTTTGGAGGCTCAGCAGCCTCCACTGAAGACTGTCCTTCAGTTGTCACATAGGTGACAGGTCCAAGTATCAAATGGAGGTCTGCAATTAATGTGTTCCTCTGCTGCAGGCAGGCCTGCCATTTGCCCTTTCTCTGTCTGGGCATTCCTAGGCTTTGGTTTCTGAAAGGTACCATTCAGTCAACCTGCTATAAGGCATGGGGTGCATACTAGCACCAGACACTCCTTGTAATGTCCACCACTTGTAAGGAATAATACGAAGCACAGAGTTGTTGCTCTGCAACATTACATTTAACACAGCCTCCTTCCATAGTGATACAGGAGTTAAGAAGAAAATCACTTAGGCAAATAACTAGGGCATGGGAGTCCTTGGAAAGACTTTTCCGTTTAACAAAAAGTAGCCCCAAATCATTTTCTAACAAAGAGCAGCCTGCCAGCTGGAAGCTTGCATGGATGAATGCCGGCAGGACTAAGGACTTAAAGACATTTTTAAGACAGCAGCTCCATCTTCCCTTCTCTGCCAGCCATGTGTGCTGGAAGAAGCAGACAAAATGGCACCGATCAACTGAAAAGCCCATTGGCATAAGAAGATTAGGGTGAGACGAGCAGCCTTCCCTGCCTGCTATATAAACTTCATACAGGATTGAACCAATCTATGAGCCCTATGTAAATCAGACACCACCTCCTCAAACTGGACTATAAAACTTGGCGCATTTACCACCAGCTGGCCCTTTCTTCTCAGAGACACCTTCCTTTATGGAGAAAGCGGTTTATCTTTCTCTTCTACCTATTAAACTTCCACTCCTAAATTCCTCATATGTGTCTGTGTCCTAAATTTTCCTGGCGCTGGCACAGGACAATGAACCCCAGGGTATATAACCCAGACAATGTGGCCACTTCATAATGGGGACCTTGTCTGGGAGATACCAAGGTATAACATTTATTGAAATGGCAAGTGGAGGAGTGAACTCCAACTTTATCCTTTCACTCTGAGGCTCTCAGCCTCCATTTTAATCCCTTTCATGGAGGATTTAGCTGGCACATGTGGCTACAAGTAGTCCTAGGGCAACTGAAGATTTCTGGCCAGGGATACCCCCTGGTGTTATCCAAAGGCTTCTGGACTGACTCCAGCCACTGACTGCCCTGATGGGGTGTCAGCAACAGGATCTCCAACTTTCCTATCGTAATTTCCTCCTTTCCTGTTTGTAAACATCATCATAACTCTTATCCTCTCTGTGTATGAAATATGCAGTATGTTTTATAATTCACAGAAGTAATCTTGTTTGGCAAGACCAGGGAATGTCTAGTAACTGGGGATATAGCTCAAGGGAAAATGTCTCTGATTTTCTAGGAACTGAGAGATTCCCCTCGCCACTACCACTGTGAATGTCTCTCTCTCAGCCTTTGGTCTAGAGAGCACAAGGCATTTCCAGGTCTCTCTCTGCCCATGGTCTGGAAAGTACATGGCCTTTCCAGGTCTCTCTCTACCCTTGATCTGGAGAGTATGTGGCATTTGCAGCTCTCTCTCTGTCCTTGGTCTGGAAAGCAGCATGTGGCATTTCTAGGCCTCTCTGTCCTTGGCCTGGAGAGCACATTTGGCATTTCCAGGTCTCTCTCTGCCCTTGGCCTGGAGACAACATGGCATGTCAAGGTCACTCTGCCCTTGGTCTAGAGAACACATGGTGTTTCAAGGTCAATAGTGCTACCTAGTGAAATAGAGATCCATAAGGAACATAGTTGGTCCTTCACCGAAATACTCTACCCTCCCAGTTCTCTTCCCTTTTGCACCTCTCTACTAGAAACCAGGCTCTATGCTGCTTCTGTAAATGGGAAAATTCTGCCTTCAACAATTGAGGTAAAATATCATCCAAAGCCAAATTTTAGTCTCAATGCTGTCTCATCAGCAGGAAAAGGGCCACTAAATTCCTATATTCCATTAAGGCACCTATTCTGCCTCCAATTAGAGTGGTACTTAGTAAGGGGATTTTAAGTTCAGAAGTTAAAACTGGAACCATTCTCTACAGGTAAGTACTTCAGCACAGGCCATAATAACAGGATATAAAGTTCAATCCAGCATGCCCCCTCTGCAAAGGTGGTCTTGCCCAACTATTATGTAGTCTTTCTAGAGATCAATTTTTTGGGGAGCCAGGCAGGTCACATGAGTCTAGGAAGTCAAAGAGAAATCACAGGCAAAGAATTAGAGCCACGTGGGTGAGCGTGACTAATCCCAATCACTTAGCTCCTTCGATTTCATGGCTGGGGTCATGCCTGCAACCACGGGCAGCACGTTCTATAAGGTTCCCGGACCCAGGAACCACAGAGGGAAAACACCAGGGTGCACACCCTCATTGTCTTCCTCTCCACCCTGAGTATCACCAAAAGAAAAAAGACTAAAGGAATACCTTTTTCTCCCTTTTCTTTTTAGATGGATACTATCTTAAGCCTGTACGACCTTGGAGTGCATTCTGAAGCACTGGGATTTCTGTCACCCTGAGACTTTAAAGAAAAAGTGGCTAATTTTCTTTTGCACAGGGCATGGCCTTTTTACTAGACCTTTGCAAGCATTACAAAATCAACCTAGTGCTTTTAGCAATCACATCGGGAAGGCCCAAAGAGAATAATTCTCCAAAATTAGAGAAACAACTTCCAGGGGAACCATCTGAGGATCCCCCTTACTTGGGGCTCTTCGAGTTCCCTTCTCATTACAGGACCTTAGGCAAATAAAGGGAGACTTAGATCAATTTTCAGACAACCCTGATAGGTATACAGAAGCTTTCCAAAATGTAACTCAGGTATTTGACCTCTCATAGAAGGATGTTATGCCACTCCTAAGCCAAACCCTAACCACATCTGAGAAGCGGTCAGCTCTACAAATAGCAGAGTATTTCAAAGATAAGCAATATGTCTCCTGTAGTAGGCCAAAAGGGAAAAGAGAAGATAGTAAAGTGGAAAAAATAGGGGTAACACCATTCTCAGTAGGAAAAAGCAGTACCTCTTGACGACCCTTATTGAAACTCCCAGGCTTTTCTATGGTATTTTTCTTTCATGGTTTAACATGGCTTCTATCTCTTTTATAATGTTCTTACAACCTGGGAAAAACTAATTTTCCAACCCTTAAAATGCCTGGTTTAGAGTTGAGCTATGAGAAAGGAAATCCAGAAGCCTGACATGCCAACAATAGGGTAAAAATTTCTTCCCAGTTGGGTTTTTGGCTTCTCTCTTCTTGTGCAAACTTGTAAAAGGGATAATAAGGATCACTGCTAGTATTTTCTGTCAAGTTTTAATGGAAAAGGATTTGTGAGGTTGGTCTTAAGCTGCAGAAAACCTGGTATGCGTTGTGTGTCTTTCTGTATGGTTATGCAAAAGAAAGGGTATCTTAGGTTAAGATACAGACCCAGGATCCTATAAGACTGCTGTTCAAGCCAGCCCAACAAAGTTGTCAGTAACAAACATGGCTACAGGCCTCCATCTTGTTTCATGTCCTTGGGAACATTATCTGTAAACACACGGCAATACTTTGTTTTAGGCTTTGCCATTTTACAATGGTGGCTGTCTTCTTGTGATAAGTCAGTTCCTGGGAGGGCCACAAAATCAACTAAGCCAGCTTATCAATCTGAGTAGGGTCAAGGTATATACTCCAAACAGTATATAGTATAGCTGCTTCAAAAGTTGGTGCCAGAACTCTAAAGGCACATGTTTATGTCCGTATGTTTCCAAAAGGCCCCACCCAAGCTGTTCAGGATAACTGGCAACCACCAATTCACAAGGCTATCCCTTCACTAGAACTTCCAAGGCTTGAATTTATGTCACTGCAATTTTAGCTTGTTCAAGGCCACATCTTCCTTTGTGGACAAGTTCCAGTGGTCCTCCTTCTTGATAAGCCATCTAGGGGCCTAAAGAGTTGCACCAAATAGGGGAAAAAAAGTACACCAATACCCTAGAAGGCCTAAGAAAGTTTGCAACTGCTCTGGTGTGGTATGACATGGGCAGGCCTGTAGCTTATTCTATAATGGCAGACTGAATAAATTTAGTGTCACCCCACTAGATGACACCCAGATATTTGATATGCCTGGACCCTGGACGTTGCATTGACCCTCCATCTTTCCTCTGTAGGTCAAGTGAGACAGCAAGGTAGGGGCTGTAGTTTCTAAGCTAAAAAATGACTCAGAAGATATCATGATATCATCAATATAATGGAAAACACATACCCCACTGTAGTGGTCCACTGACTGAAGTTGGAGGCCCTTCTGCCACAACAGACAGTGGAGCTAAGTAAACATCCTGTGGGAAAGACAGTAAAGATTCATTGTTCTCTTTTCCCAGAGAAATGCAAATTGGTCTTGATGCTCTGGGGCAATGGGGATGCTAAAGAAGGCCTTGGTAAACCACTCAGCAAGAGAAAAGGACAAACAATCCCATTAAAAGTGGCAAAAAGACATGAACAGATATTTCACAAAAGAAGACATATAAGCAGCCAACAAACATGAAAAAATGCTCGACATCACTACTTATCAGAGAAATGCAAACTAAAACCACACAGACATTTCATCTTACATGAGTCAGAAGGACTATAATTTAACAGTCAAAACAACAACAACAAACAACAAACATATTGGCAGCGATGTGGAGTAAGGTAGCCTTGTACACTGTTGGTGGGAATGTGAATTGGTACCACCTCTATAAAAACAGTACAGATGTTTTGCAAAGAACTAAAAACAGAACTATCATTCAACACAGCAGTGCCACAGCTGGGTATTTACCCAAAGGAAAATAAATTATTATACAAAAATGACACTTTCACTCATGTGTTTACTGCAGTATTATTCACTGCAGTAAAGTCATGGAATCAACCTAAGTATTCATCGATGGATGACTGTATAAAGAAAATGTGATATATATGGGTGTCTGGCAAGAAGGCTGAATAGAAGAGTTTTGGTCTGTAGCTCCCAGCAATATCAATGCAACAGGGGGTGATTTCTGCATTTCCAATGAAGTATCTGGCTTGTCTCACTGGGACTGGTTAGAGAATGGGTACAGCCCACAGAGGGCGAGCCAAAGCAGGGTGGAACATTGCCTAACCTGGGAAGCTCAAGGGGTCTGCGAACTCCCTCCCCTAGCTAAGGGAAGCCGTGAAGGACTGTGCTGTGAGGAACAGTGCATTCCGGTCCAGATACTATGCTTTTCCTATGGTTGTTACAACCTGCAGACCAGGAGATTTCCTCAGGTGCCTACACCACCAGGGCCCTGGGTTTCAAGCACAAAACTAGGCAGCTGTCTGGGCAGTCACCAACCTAGCTGCGGGAGCTTTTTTCATACCCTAATAGTGCCTAGAATGCCAGCAAGACAGAACCGTTCACTTTCCTGGAAAGGTGGGTGAAGCCAAGTGGTTTAGCTCAGCGGATCCCACCCCCATGGAGGCCAGCAAGCTAAGATCCACTGGCTTTAAATTCTTGCTGCCAGTACAGTACTCTGAAGTCAACCTGGGACACTCAAGCTTGGTGGAGGGTGGGGTGTCTGCCATTACTGAGGCTTGAGTAGGCAGTTTTCCCCTCACAGTGTAAACAAAGCTACCAAAAAGTTCAAACTGGGAAAAGCCCACTGCAGCTCACCAAAGCCACCGTAGTCAGACTGCCTCTCTGGATTCCTCCTCTCTGGGTAGGGCACCTCTGAAAGAAAGGCAGCAGCCCCAGTCAGGGGCTTACAGATAGAACTCCCATCTCCCTGGGACATAGCACTTGGGGGAAGGGGTGGCTGTGGGTACAGCTTCAGCAGATTTAAAGGTTCCTGCCTACTGGCTCTGAAGAGAGCAGTGGATCTCCCAGCACAGGACTCAAGCTCTGCTAAGGCACAGACTGCCTCTTCCAGTGAGTCCCTGACCCCCATGCCTTCTGGCTGGGAGACACCTCCCAGCAGGGGTTGACAGACACCTCATACAGGAGAGCTCTGGCTGACATATGGTGAGCACACCTCTGGGACGAAACTTCCAGAGGAAGGAACAGGAAGCAATCTTTGCCGTTCTTCAGCCTCTGCCAGTGACACCCAGGCAAACAGGGTCTGGAGTGGACCTCCAGCAAACTCCAGCACACCTGCAGCAGAAGGGCCTGATTGTTAGAAGACAAGCATAGAAAGGCATAGCAGCAACATCAACAAAAAGGACATCAACTCAGAAACCCCATCTGAAGGTTACCAGCATAAAAAAACAAAGGTAGATAAACCCACAAAGATGGGGAAAAACCAGCTCAAAAAGGCTGAAAACTTCAAAAACCAGAAACCCTTTTCTCCTCCAAAGGATCAAAACTCCTTGTCAGCAAGGGAACAAAACTGGATGAAGAATGAGTTTGACGAATTGACAGAAGCAGGCTTCAGAAGGTGGGCAATAACAAACTCCTCTGAGCTAAAGGAGTATGTTTTAACACAATGCAGGTAAGCGAAGAACCTTGAAAAAAGGCTAGGTGAACTGCTAACTAGAATAATCAGTTTAGAGAAGAACATAAATGACCTGATAAAGCTGAAAACCAGCACAGGAACTTTGCGAAGCACACATAAGTATCAATAGCTGAAATGATCAAGTGGAAGAATGTGTATCAGAGGCTGAAAATCAACTTAATGAAATAAAGTGTGAAGACAAGATCATAGAAAAAAGAATGAAAAGGAACAAAGTCTCCAAGAAATATGGGACTATGTTAAAAAACCAAACCTACGTTTGATTAGTGTACCTGAAAGTGTTGGAGAGAATGGAACCAAGTTGGAAAACACTCTTCAGAATATTATCCAGAAGAACTTCTCCAAGTTAGCAAGACACGCCAACATTCAAATTTGGGAACTACAGAGAACACCACAAAGATACTCCCTGAGAAGTGCAACCCCAAGACACATAATCGTCAGATCCACAAAGGTTGAAAAGAAGGAAAAATGTTAAGAGTAGCCTGACAGTAAAGTTGGGTCACCCACAAAGGGAAGCCCATCAGATTAACAGTAGATCTCTCTGTGGAAATCCTACAAGTCAGAAGAGAGTGGGGACCAATATAGAACATTTTTAAAGAAAATAATTTTCAGCCCAGAATTTCTTATCTAGCAAAACTAAGCTTCATAAGTGAAGGAGAAATAAAATCCTTTACAGAGAAGGAAATGCTGAGAGATTTTGTCACCAGGCCTGCCTTAGAACAGTTCTTGAAAGAAGCAGTAAATATGAAAAGGAAAAACCAGTACCAGCCTCTGCAAAAACATACCAAATTATAAAGACTATCGACACTATGAATAAACTGCATCAACTAATGGGCAAAATAACTAGCTAGCATATTAATGACAGGAACAAATACACACACAACAATATTAACCTTAAATGTAAACTAGCTAAAATCCCCAATTAAGACACAGACTGGCAAATTCAATAAAGAGTCAACGTCCATTGCTGTGCTGTTTACAGGAGACGCATCTCATCTGCAAAGACACAGAGAGGCTCAAAATGAAGGAATGGAGGAAGATACACAAAGCAAATGGACAGCAAAAAAAGCAGTGATTGCAATCCTGGTATTTGATCCAAAACAGGCTTTAAACCAACAAAGATCAAAAAGACAAAGAAAGGCGTTATATAATGATAATGGGATCAATGCAGCAAGAAGAGCTAAATATCCTAAATAAATATGCAAACAATACAGAAATGCCCAGATTCATAAAGCAAGTTCTTAGAGACCTACAAAGAGACTTAGACTCCCATACAATAATAGTGAAAGACTTTAACACCCCACTGTCAATATTAGACAGATGAATGAGACAAAAAATTAACAAGGATATCCAGGACTTGAACTCACTTCTGGACCAAGCAGATCTAATAGACATCTGCAGAACTCTCCACCCCAAATAAACAGACAATACATTCTTCTCAGCACCACATCACACTTATTCTGATACTGACCACATAATTGGAAGTAAAACATTCCTCAGCAAATGCAAAAGAACAGAAATCATAACAAACAGTCACAGTGCAATCAAATTAGAACTCGGGATTAAGAAACTCATTCAAAACCATACAACCACATGGAAACTGAACAACCTGCTCCTGAATGACTACTGGGTAAATAATAAAATTCAGGTAGAAATAAGTAAGTTCTTTGAAACCAATGAGAACAAAAACACAATGTACCAGTATTTCTGGGACACAGCTAATGCAGTGTTTAGAGGTAAATTTATAGCACTAAAGGCCCACAGGAGAAAATGGGAAAGATCTAAAATTGACACCCTAACATCACAATAAAAAGAACTAGAGAAGCAAGAGCAAACAAATTCAAAAGCTAGCAGAAGACAAGAAATAACTAAGATCAGAGCAGAACTGAAGGAGACAGAGGCACAAAAAACCCTTCAAAATCAATGAATCCAGGAGCTGGTTTTTGAAAAGATTAACAAAATAGACCACTAGCCAGACTAACAAAGAAGAAAAGACAGAAGAATCAAAACATTAAAGGGGATATTATCACTGATCCCACAGAAATACGAACTACCATCAGAGAATAGTATAAACACTAATATGCAAATAAACTAGAAAATCTACAAGACATGGATAGATTCCTGGACACATGCATACTCTCACGACTAAACCCAGAAGTTGAATCCCTGAATAGACCAAGTTCTCAAATTGAGGCAGTAAATAATAGCCTACCAACAACAACAAAAAAAGCCCAGGAACAGACGAATTCACCAGCTGAATTCTACCAAAGGTAGAAAGAAGAGCTGGTACCATTCCTTCTGAAATGATTCCAAACAATAGAAAAAGAAGGACACCTCCCTAACTCATTTTATCAGGCCAGCATCATTTTGATACCAAAGCCTGGAAGAGACACAACAGACATAGAAAATTTCAGGCCAATATCCCTGATGAACATCAATATGAAAATCCTCAATAAAATACTGGCAAAACAAATCCAGCATCACATCAAAAGGCTTAGCCAGCCAAGTGTGGTGGCTCACAAGGTCAGGAGATCGAGACCATCCTGGCCAACATGGTGAAATCCCAACTATACTAAAAATAAAAAAATAAGCTGAGCCTGGTGGCGCGTGCCAGTAGTCCCAGCTACTGGGGAGGCTGAGGCAGAGGAATCACTTGAACCCGGGAGGTGGAGATTGCAGTGAGCTGAGACTGTGTCACTGCACTCCAGCCTGTAGACAGCAAGACCATCTCAAAAAAAAAAAAAAAATAGCTTAGCCATCACGGTCAAGTCAGCTTCATCTCTGGGATGCAAGGCTGGTTCAATATATGCAAATCAATAAACATAATTTATCACATAAACAGAACCAGTGGCAAAAACCACATGATTATCTCAATAGATGCAGAAAAGGCCTTTGATAAAATTCAATACCCCTTCATTCTGAAAACGCTCAATAAACTAGGTATTAATGGAACGTATCTCAAAATAATAACAGCTCTGTATGACAAACCTACAGCCAATATCATACTGAATGGGCAAAAGCTGGAAGCATTCGCTTTGAAAACTGGCACAAGACAAGGATGCCCTCTCTAACGACTCCTATTCAGAATAGTATTGGAAGTTCTGGCCAGGGCAATCAGGCAAGAGGAAGAAAGAAAGGGTATTCAAGTAGGAATAAAGGAAGTCAAATTGTCTCTGTTTGCAGATGACATGATTGTATATTTAGGAAGCCTCATCATCTCAGCCCAAAATCTCCTTAACCTGATAAGCAACTTCAGCAAAGTCTCAGGATATAAAATTGATGTGCAAAAATCACAAGCATTCCTATAAACCAATAATAAACAGAGAGCAAACCGTAAGTGAAATCCCATTCACCAATTGCTACAAAGGGAATAAATACCTAGGAATACAACTCACAAGGTATGTTAAGGATCTCTTCAAGGAGAACTACAAGCCATTGCTCAAGGAAATAAGAGAAGACACAAACAAATGGAAAAACATTCCATACTCATGGATATGAAGAATCAATATCATGAAAATGGCCATACTGTCCAACATAATTTATAGATTCAATGCTATCCCCATCAAGCTACCGTTGACTTTCTTCACACAATTAGAAAAAACTACTTTAAATTTCATCTGGAACCAACAAAGAGCCCACATAGCCAAGACAATCCTAAGCAAAAAGAACAAAGCTTGAGGCATCACACTGCCTGACTTCAAACTATACTACAAGGCTATAGTAACCAGAACAGCATGGTACTGGTACCAAAACAGAGATATAGACCAATGGAACAGAACAGAGGCCTCGGAAATAACACCACACATCTACACCTATCTGATCTCTGACAATCCTAACAAAAACAAGCAGTGGGGAAAGGATTTCCTATTTAAGAAATGGTGTTGGGAAAACTGGCTAGCCATATGCAGAAAACTTAAACTGGATCCCTTTCTTATACCTTATACAAAAATTAGCATAAGATGGATTAAGGACTTAAATGTAAGGCCTAAAACCATAAAAACCCTAAAAGAAAACCTAGGCATTCAATTTAGGACATAGGCATGAGCAAAGACTTCACGACTAAAACACCAAAAGCAATGGCAACAAAAGCCAAAATTGACAAATGGGATCTACTTAAACTGCAGACCTTCTGGACAGCAAAATAAACTACCATCAGAGTGACCAGGCAACCTACAAAATGGGAGAAAATTTTTGCAATCTATCCATCTGACAAATGGCTAATATCCAGAATCTACGAAGAACTTAAATTCACAAGGAAAAAAAACCAAACCGATCAAAAAGTGGTCAAAGTATATGAATAGATACTTCTCAAAAGAACACATTTATGTGGCCAAGAAATGTTGTGAAAAAAGCTCATCATCACTGTTCATTAGAGAAATGCAAATCAAAGCCACAGTCAGAATGATGATCATTAAAAAGTCAGGAAACAACAGATACTGGAGAGGATGTTGAGAAACAGGAATGCTTTTACACTGTTGGTGGGAGTGTAAATTAGTTTAACCACTGTGGAAGACAGTGTGGCGATTCCTCAAGAATCTAAATCTAGAAATACCTTTTGACCCAGCAATCCCCTTACTAGGTATATACCCAAAGGATTATAAATTTTTCTATTATAAAGACACATGCACATGTATGTTTATTGCAGCACTGTTCACAATTCAAAGGCTTGGAACCAACCTAAATGCCCATCAATGTTAGACTAGATAAAGAAAATGTGACACATATACACCATGGAATATTATGCAGCCATAAAAAAGGATGAGTTCGTGTCCTTTGCAGGGACATGGATAAAGTTGGAAACCATCATTCTCAGCAAATTAACACAGGAACAGAAAATGAAATACTGCATGTTCTCACTCAGAAGTGGGAGATGAACAATGAGACCACATGGACACAGGGATGGGAACATCATACATGGGGAGCTTTTTGGGGGTGGGGAGCTTTTTGGGGGTGGGGAGCTAGGGGCGGTATAGCGTTAGGAGAAATACCTAATGCAGATGACAGGTTGATTGTTGCAGCAAACCTCCATGGCACGTGTATACCTATGTAACAAACCTGCATATTCTGCACATGTATCCCAGAACTTAAAGTATAATTTTAAAAATGTGGTGTGTATATATATATATATATGTATATGTATACATACACCATGAAATACTATTCAGCCATAAAAAAGAATGACATCATGTCCTTTGCAGCAATATGGATGGAGTTTGAGAGCTAATGTTCTCAAACATTCCTAAGTGAAGTAACTCAGGAAATCAACCACCACATGTTTGCTCTTATAAATGTCAGCTAAACATTGGGTACAGATGGACGTAACAAGGGAAATAACAGACCCTGGGGTCTCCAAAGTTGGTAGAGTTTTAAGGATTAAAAATTTACCTACTGTATACAATGTTTCGATGTATACCCATCCAAACAGTTGGATGATACCCATCATCCAAATCTTTACTATTAGGATGATGGGTACACCACAAGCCCAAACCCTACCATTACTCAGTGTATCCATGTAACAAACCTGCAAGTGTACTTCTGAATGTAAAATTAAAAAAGTCAAAAGATAGCATATACTAATGCAAATTTCAACACAGCAAGAAAAATAACAATAATTAACATTTATATA